AATAGCAAACGTTTGTTTGTTACTGCACTCAGACTGATCCTTCAGTGAAACATTTTGTACTTTTAATTTCTATTGGGGCTGGTTCCCAATGGAGCCGCTTCTTCTTTTTTAAGCGAACTGGATGATGAGGCTGAAACACTTTTGAGTTTCTATTCTTCCATGAACACCAGTAATTAATCTAAATCTATATGGAATAGTTGTACGGGAACACTTCCTGTGAATGCAGAACAGAAATTGTTTTGCGACATTTGCAGAGTGAAAGTTCAGTGTGCAAAAGTGGAGCATGACTTACAGTAAAGCGTGAATCGTTTGGGGTTTCTGTTCCGTTCAGATTTACTGGTATTATTGCTGCGCTTTGGTTTTAATCACACGGCTCGGGTCCGTGGTTGAACCAGCGTGAGAGGTGCGCTTTACACCTGAGGCACTCGAGATAAAAATAAGTTGACATTTCCAAGGATAATTGTCACAGCAAAGTGCAAAAAGCTTCAGATTTCAGTGTTGTCTCAGACTTTGAAGGAACCGGGACAAAACAATTTAAACCAGACTTTACAGTTTAGTATTTCATCTGTGGATAACCTCTGAAAACTATGGCTATTCGTTGAAGAACAGACAGGTGCCCTGACAAAAATGGATTAAAATTAGTCTGAAAGTGTTTTTGTTTTGTTTCTTTTGCAACATGTTTCTTAGTTTCTGTGTAAAAAGCAGCTGCTGTGGTTAGGTCACAGAACGTGGCCCACATATGTCGTGTATATATTTCTGTCATTTCAAATGTCAACTGAATACAAAACACATAGGTTACATGTGGCTCCTGTGAACATTGCTGCATGAAACTGATGCAGTGTTTAATACTTTTTAATCAAGCTACATTCAAACTTAAGTAAGAAAATGTTCATCAGGTGAGGTTTTGTCGCCGTGAAACAAAACGTATTTGAAAAGTTAAGGTTGCATTTACTTCAAAAGCAGAAATGCAACAACTATTATAAGTACCGATTAAAGCCTTGCATTGCTTTAAATACGTCAGTGTAGCTTCAATAATGTTGTTTGTAGTGTTTTTGTTTGTATTTTTTTATACACAGAAACATTTAGAGAACAAATGTTCTTTAAAAGTTTAACCTAAAATAGGGCACAATGTCCTAAAATTAAAATATCGCCTGGTGGCACTTAAACATGAGTGTGAAATCAGTTTTATCTTTTAACATATTGGTAGTTAAACTGGAAAAAATCACACACAATTTATGTTTATAGAACAGAGTTTAAGGTACCATCTTTAAATTATACAATTTGGTCTGGCGAGACGATTCTTCTGCAAACTGTTGTTAAAGCCTAAAGCTGGATATTTTTGTTATTTATTTCCTCTTTCTGTGCTATTGTTGAACCTGCTCCATCCTACTGTCCCGTGGGAGTTTGGCTCTCAGCCCTATTTTAAGTAAAAAAAATAAAAATAAAAAATAAAGCCTTCGTGGGTTTATTCCAATCCAAAGAAAAAAGTCTTGCTTAAAAAGACCTGTTCATTGTTTATTCTTGTTTTATTTGTTTGTGCAGAACTTGGATTGCTTTTGCGAACAGGTTGGACATTTCTAACTTGATATCTTTATTTTTATATGGCGTGGTTGGGTGAAATGCTGTTTTTGTTAGGAACTCACAGCATGGTTGAACCTGTTACTTTATGTATTTGTTTGCAATGGTGAAGCTCCTAACAAAGCAGCAGAATTGAGTATTGTACTCATGAGTTGGTGTGAAACTAGTACCGCAATAACCACAATTAATTATTAATCTAAACAATCAATTTTGCTTCTCGAAAGGTTTTTTTTGTCCCCCTATAAATTAGACTGGTATTAGACTGGTTCTGAACCATTGCCGACCACCGAGAGCTGAAACCCGTGAATACTCGAGACCCCTTCAAGAGACGCCTGGAGCCGCTAAATTTAATAGTTCAGGCACCAAATCTACCTGAATACACACAGTGGAAACCATCTTAGCACGACTGTAAAGAAGCTACAGTCTTTATTTCTGCTCTTGGGGGATTCAGCCAATCGGCACTAAGGAACATAAACGCTTCTCCTGGATTGGCTGTTTTGTAAATGAAGCGACCCAAACAGAAACAACAGAAATGCTTTAGAATATCGTAAATATGCTCTACAAAACAGAAAACAAACGTTTTTCTTTTGAACTTTGAATTGCGTGTATAAATTATTTTTAACATTCATCAATAATTGAAGCCCTTATTATTTATGCAGTTACATATAAAAATTAAGCCTTGACTATTCAGATTATATTATACATTACAATATTACATATTCTTTGATAGTCATCGGTTCGGTCATCACTGCAATCTGTTTCTGTTTTATATTTCAACCAAGAGGCAATAATAGAGGAGGTTTTAATTTTAAAATGCCTTGTATTTAATAAATGTTTATTTTTTTAGGGAGTTTTTCTTGTTTAGTTTTCAGTTCCTTATCTCTCTGTGTTTCATAATAAAACCTACAAATCTGTTTATTATTACTAACCTCGAATTCGAGCTTTGGTAAAAGTTTTGAGGAAATAAAACGATAAAAATAATAAACTAAGATATTTACGTCCACAGATTGTTGTGGCTTAGAAAATCAAAACTCAATGCTGCTTGCAATCAGTAATACTTATAACAATGTTATGTGTGCTTCTTTGTTTCAATTGTTATCGACTGAAGCAGAAAGTTAGAAGAAGCACCAGCTTGATTCAGAGTTTAAATGTGCATGTCTTTGTATCGTGAACGTTTTGCTGTTCTGTGTGTTGTAGAGTTACACTAGGAGGATAACAAGCTCATAATAGCTGGTTAATTAATGGAGCTTTGTGCTTCAGTAACCAACCTGCAGGTGGCTGCTAACACACTCCCTGCTCACAGCTCTTCAACTACACTTCTTATAAAACTGTAATTAGAGTGGTAGGTGGTGGGTAAGTTATGCTTTCTGGGGAAGAATGCTTTAGCCTTCTATCAGCCAGCTAACAGTCAGTGTGCAGCAGCAAGTTGGGAGTAGGTAGTGCCATGAAAATCTGGCATTTCTCATTTTAAACTGTAAAAAAAGGGAAAAGAGGAAAAAATATCTGCCTACAGTCTTTAGGCTTGGATTGAGGATTTTTATTTATTTATTTATTTATTTTTATTTTATTTTTTTTACATTTTTGCTTCCCTTTGCACAGTTTGTTTCCTTCGTGCTTTTAATTTTACTTTAAGGTCACGTTGGCTGAGAGGGGGGAGCCCAAACCAGTTCCCCCACTTCACTATTGTAAACAAGAACAAAAACTCTGCGCTCGTTTTTTACTGGGAATCAATTGAACGCGGTTCGCTTTTGCTGGTGGCATTTTGCTCACACTGGGCTTTTCTCGACGTTTCCCTCTGAGAATAGAAAAAGAATTGAAATGTCCTTAATTGTCCCATTGAGGGGAAATGCAGGTGTGCTGTGGGTTAATGCCGTCCAATGTGTTTTAAAACGCCACGGCTCAGCAGGGGGCGATGGACTGCAACATCAGATTAACGATGAATAGGAAGTGAACATGTGGATATGTTTGGTTTCAGGGCACTCAGTTCTAGCTTTCATGTGTAACTTTGGAGTACTGTCATTCAGAGAAGGAGTTTACCTGCTTGATTCATTCTAAGATGTTTTAGGTTTTTTATTTTTGGACAGGAAACAAGTGAGAAATAAATTTAAGACTCAAAAAATAAAAAAGCTTCAGAAAACAAGAATTTTGGATCAAGATGCCTAGATTGAGAAACGGACTCAAAGTGAAACATTCCCGCATCACAAACTGCCAGGGTGTGAATGAGGAACTCGTATGCAACCTTGAAATTGCACGTTTGTTTTATTTATTTTTTATCCCTTTGAGTGTTACTGATTCTAAGTTTTAGTTCTCCACACAGATAGACTGCCCGCACATTAAAAGTTAAGGAGGATTAACATCGAGTGCCGGTTATCTATCTAAGTGAAACTGCACACGTTACGTTGGTTGGGCCTTTTGTCGCTCAATCTGATCATTTCCTTTTGCAACTTTACTCTCTTTGTTCATTTTTTGGAAGTCTGCTTAAAACATTAAAACTGTACGTATGCGCCTGAGCTTGACGACATGCTGCAGCTAAAGAATGAAGTCAAGACGCGGCGACGCTAAAAACTCGAAGTCTGACTCCAGATGTGAGTCAGTTCTTATGGACCTTTGGGGTAAAATGCCAAACTTTACAGCCAGCTGAAATCAGGCAGGTACAGGCCGGTATAAACATATAGGGCATTAACATTCGAAGCTACTTTTAGTGTTCTGTGAAACATCTTGCAGATAAATGCTTAAAGTCGAATGTTTTATCACACTTGTCCAGATTTGGTTTGGTCGTCAGCGATCTTGTTTTATTGATGATTCCTTCACATATTTAATTGAGATTTTAGAAAGATGGATGTAGGGCTGCAAACTGACGATCATTTTAGTGATCGATTAACCTATCTATTATGATGACAATTAATGAATTAATCGAATTAAGAAAAATTTAAAAACATTAAAATGTATAAGTAAACAAATGATTCAATTCCCTTTTTAAGTAAGAAAATAAACATTTGATTGCATACATACGCGACTGATCATTTGTTGCAAGGGACGCATCTGCAGTTAAATAATGACTGACATCAATATGCTCAACTCTTTCTGCTGCACTGAACATCAATTCACTAATTAATAATTGGATTCAAACTTTGCTTAATAGAATAATTTTACTAAATTTGAACAAGGTGAAGCTAAAACAGATTAGAAAATATTTAAAGACAAAGTTTTTAATCTTTATAAATATATATATCTTTATCTATATATATATATATTTTTTGTTTGTTTTGTTTTATTTATTCCAGTTAACAATTAATCAGTTACTAACTCAATTATTCCAGTAATCAATTCATCATAATTAATCATTTCAGCTGTTTCATGTTATTAGCACTGAGGTTACACGTCAGGAGTTTATTCTCATTATTTTTGTCTCCCTCTCTTAGCAAATGGTGATGAGCCTGCGGGTGTCGGAGCTGCAGGTGCTGCTGGGCTACGCGGGGCGCAACAAACATGGACGCAAGCACGAGCTGCTGACCAAAGCGCTCCACCTGCTGAAATCCGGCTGCAGTCCCGCCGTGCACATGAAGATCAAAGAGCTCTACCGAAGACGCTTCCCTGCCAAAATGGTCTCCCACCCCGAGCTGGCGCTGACCGGGCCGCACCACCCGGCTTCAGTCGGAGTCGTCGGGGGAGGCGGGGCGGCGCTGCCTGCCGGCTTGACGCAGCTGGCGTACGAGGGCCACGCCGGTCACGGCAGCGCCCCGTCGCCCGCTGCCTTACTGCCCCTCTCGCTGCTCGGACCCGGGAAGCACGAGCTGACCGCGCTGACGCACCACCTGCCCACTTCGGCCTCGCTGCACCCGGTCCACCCGGATGTTAAGCTCCAGAGGCTGCCTTTCTACGACCTGCTTGACGAACTTATCAAGCCGACGAGTCTAGGTAGGTAGAGAGTTATTGTGATCTGCAAAGTGAAGATACAAATATATGTATTTGGTGTACAGTGCCTTGCATAAATACTCATAGTGCTGCAGATATGTGTGATGCACTAACGCTAATAGTGGCTGTGAAAAGAAATAATAATAAATTAATGCAACTTGAAATTCAGCCTCTTTTTCAACTTCGAGTCTGGAAGAGTAAGAATGCAGCCACAGTTTTCTAATTTCACTTGATCAAGTCCAACTCGTGTATCCGCTCCACGTCTGCAAAGAGTTGTGGAAACGCCTGCATCAACTCTTCGACGCCGCTGATATAACAAGTGGCAGCTTCTATTCTTAAAAATTTGTACAGATATTCAAACATTTTTCTGCTCAGAAAACAGCTGCAAACTTTTTTTTGTCCTCCTTTCTGTCTAAACTACTTTTTCCAAAACACATTGACATTTGTGACAAAACGTGAAAAAAATTCAATGTGTTTGGAAACCAAGTCCTGCTGCTCAGCCTCTGTGTTGCTGCATATCTTTACAGTTCGAGTCATTTTTTTTCCCCTTACTCCCGTTGGTTTTCTTCCCGTATCTTTTTCATCAAAATATCTTGTGAGCGTGAAACTGACCCAAAAATATTATCAGAGAGGTTCTGGATATTTATATGAGCGTATTGTTCCTATAATAATCTCAGCGGCAGGCAGCGCAGACACCGACATTTGTAGTTCGCCTGTTTATATAAAAAGGCTCCCTGCCAGCGTCTGTGTCGCACTTCCTGGTAAAATGGGCTGACTGGGCGAAGGAAACTTCTCTCAAGGCTTCAGAATAAACACGAAACACTCTGGGTCCCCTAGAACTGGAGGTGAAAATAGAATCTGGGCTTTTTATCCGTGAAGCTGAAAGAACCCAAAACGTCTCTTGTAATCATTGGTCGTGGCTGCGGCTGTTAATGTTTATCGGTTAACGAGCGCAGCAGAAGCCGTTTTACCCTCGTAAATGATCACATAAATATTTTGTCTCGGGCGTTGTGCAGTCGTGGGTTAGGTTTCAGGACGTGCTAAACCATGATTCTTTGATTTATTTATTTATTTTGCCATGTGAAAAAGTATTCCCCCCCCATATCAGACATGCCTTTTCTCTTTAAAGTGGGTGGCAGTTTATCTAAAACGAGTCAAAAGTCTTTCATACCCCTTAAGTCAGAGCGCCGCAAGTGAGATGGTACACAGGGTGTTTCAAAAGGTTTGGTCACCAGCAGACAATCGTTGCAATTTTGGCCCTCAATCGAACCGAGCTTAACGGCTACCAGGTGTGAAAATACCCTTCGGCTTGTGCAGGTCGGTTTAAAGAAAAGATAAAACAAGATTTAAGTCATTTGCGACATATTAAAAAAATGGTTTACTGCAGAACATTTTTAATTCTCTTATTTAAAACCAGGGACTCGTGTTGTGGCTCTCTTCGATCTCCCGTTTTGGTTTGAGTTTGAGTTGTACAGCAGCAGCTGAAAATGTGGTTCGAGTTTTTTTTGTTGCTGTGGGAAAATTTTCAAATTTGACTTTGCATTACAACCCACTATGCTCTTTGTGTATTTGTCCCGAAGCAACATTGTCGATTAACTTTTACGTATTCACAGTGCCGCTATGAATGTGACATGGAGATGGAAAACAATAGAATATTTTAGTTGCCATTTCAAGACTCTGCAGAAGCATGAAGATGTGCTCCTTGGAGCTGAATAAATAAAAGCAATGTACAGAACTGGTACCTCATACACAGGCAATAGAGAAAATAAGGATTTGATATACCGCTGATTAAGTTTTTCCTTTTACAAAGAAGGTCTGTGAGTTTTGCCGTGGGTATATCTCAACTCTAAGAGACGGTGTCTACGATAAAAATCCAAAAACTCTCAATGTTTGATTTTAAAATAATTGTTGCGTGAAAGAAGGATTTGATGCAACACGTGGCACAGAAACCAGAGGTCAGACGTTTCTTCCTGCAGTTCTCGCCCAGGTTTGCAGCAGGGATTTTTTTGCTCCACTCCTCCATACAAATCTTCTCCCCATCTTTCCTGTTTCAGGGCTGTTGTTAGGCAACATGGAGTCACACCTCCCTCCAAAGATTTGATTTTGGTTTCATGTGTGGAGGCCGGCTGGGCCGCTCCAGGACCTTGAAATTCTTCTAAGGGAATCGATTGCTCTCTGTGTGTTTAGGTCAGTAGCTGCGTTTTCTGTTGACCATACACAAGGTTTCAGAAATTAATTTGCTTTATTGAAACGCAGCAATTTGTGGGGGGGAAAAAAAACAACAAGTCCTTTTAGGCTGAAAAGTTTTGTCGCAAGAAAGCGTTTTTTTTCTCTGGCCATATCAAAATTGGTTTATTTTGTGAAAGTGCGATGAAACGCTTTTTTTTTTTGCATCACACGAGTCACATGATCAATAACCGAATGTTTCCACTGCAAGAAGATGACAGGAAGTAGTTGGAGCATGATAAATCATCACCAAACTTATTCGCATATGATTTAAATCTAGTTACTTAACAGAATCACAGAAATTGCAGTTAAATTTTTTTTTTTGCAGAATATTGACAAAGTTTTTGCACACATTTGTAATGCAAATGGGCTGAGTCAGCTACTGACCCCTTTCTGAGTTTAGGGAAGGAGATTGTTGCCCGAAATCTCACGATACACAACCCCCATCCATCCTCTCTTCCGTATGGTTTGCCATAACCGTATGTTTTTTAGTAGCTGATCAACAAGTACTGCGCTTTGTCTGACTGCATGAGGACTCATAGTTTCAGTGTTGCTCCATGCTTCTTCTCTACGCTTTACTTCATTACTTAAGAGACATTTCATTTGGGCTTTATCTTGGTTAGATTTGTCTTTGCATTTCATCTGGCAGCCAGCCTGTACTTAGCATAATAATCTCTGGGCTCTGGGATACATTGCAAATATATGAAAATGTCTAGATTTTCCTACATTAGCATTTTAATGGACTAAGAGGCTGGCTTGTGATTAATTTGCCTGCAGATGCATGTACAAACACTGCGCCTGCAGCTTTGTCATCACACCATCCTTCTCCTTTTCTTTCCCTCTCTCTTTCTCCCCGTTTCCTGCACATGTTCCCTCCTTCGCCGCCTCCCTTCTCTCTCTCTTTTTGTCTCGCTCTCTCTCCTTCCTCTCCATGGCCATCCCTGGTCGAAATTTGCATGTAGAGTGATGAAATCACACAGGCGTACACCTGTGCCTGCGGAACCCCTCCTCCCCCCTTATTTGAATTTGAATCGAGCATTGTCACTTACAATATTTTTGAAACGGACTTTCCGATAAATAATGCATGTGTTGCACTTACTGGTCTCAAAGAAGCACAAAAAAGATGATTGACAAAGGCATAAAAACTTGCCAGAGAATTTTGTACGTCGTTTGATGAAACTACATATTTGTGTTTGCAGGAAGGAGAAGCTTTGAGGCGATGAACCCTTTCAGCCCTCATAGCTGAGACCTTCTAAACCAGGTTTAATTCCCATTTAGAAAACATATATTTTTGCTTCCAGACAGTTTTTCTCTCTCCTACATGCATCACTTTCTTTTTTTTTGTTTGTCGTTTTTTCCTGAGAGCGACTCTTTTTTGCTGGTTTCTCGCTTTCTTCCCATTCTTTCGGCTCCTGTTTTTTTTTTTGCTTTCACTTTTTTCCCCCCCATCTCCCTTATCCTTATTTGCTGCCTATCCTACTCTGTATTTTTCTTTCTGGTGAAATAATAAATGTCATAGTAGTTCGTACAAAAGTTTATGTCATAACTGGAATACAAGGTAAACCTTAAAGGTACAGCGTCCATAAATAATTGTCGCCTTTTTGGGCGTTTTAACCATTTTGTTGCTAATGTTCAACCAGCAAATTCATATCAAAGTGAATACTGATTTGTACAAAAATAATAATGATATAACATGTAGCATAAGAGCGAGTATAGATGATAGTGTGTGTTGGTCTGTGAGTGATTTTCATAAAAGTAAGCAATCAGTGCGTCTTTTCTATACCAATACAATTGTCCTTTAGTTCACCTAAAGAAATGAATTGATTAAATTAGATCTAAATTGTTGCGAGCTCTTTTGTTTCTCTCTCACTTTTCTTTTATCTTGTTTGTCTTTTCTCTAATTCATGTAAAGCACTTTGAATTGCCTTGTTGCTGAGTATCTGCTATATCAATAAGATGACCTTTTCTAGCAACAGATGAGTAACAAACGAAAGAACCGGACTGATTTTTGTCTGGCTCAAACTCTTAATTTTTCTTCTTTTTTTTACGGTTCCCGACAGCAGCTGCTTCATAAATCTGCCCCTTTAACTGGGCCGTGATTACATTACTCTTTGCCTAAATTTTAACATTTCACTGGTCGGGGGCAGTAATTTATTTTTGCACCTATAGATGAGTTGCGCTATTTTCTAAGTCCCTAAATTGGATTTAATAAGAACTGGGGCTTTTTTGTAAGTTCTGGCTAAGTGGATTTGACTGGAATGCTTCTGGGTCTTTTTTTTTTTTTTAATATATAAAACTGGATTTAGATCATATGAGCTTCTCTCCCACAACCAATTGAGGTAATGAAAATGTGCAATAAAAAAAAAAAAATGAAATATGATGTAAAGACATGAGTTTCCATGCTGAAACGCCCTCTGCTGCAAACAAACAATCCGACGCATGAGATTAAACTATGACCGCTAAGCTTAACGCATGTAGAGGAGGGCTTGAACGCTTAATGCTGCTTATAGATCAAGTTTATAGTTAGAGAAACACAGCACTCTGTCGGAGCATGTTCTCAGGTTTCCTGCCTCACACTGATTTGTCTCAATACCTGGGTTTCTTCTGTGCATATAAATGTAGTTATTATCACTCTCACACCATCTTCCTCTCCTCCCTCCCGCCTCTCTGTGCCATTATCCCTCCCCGTGGTGCAGTCCTGTGCTCTCTGCTGAGTCTTATCACTCTGGGGAATAAAGGTTAGGCGGCCCACGGCTCAGCCCTGCCAGCATCCTCCG